TCATGGCGCTAAACCTAATCCACGCACTTCATGGCGTATGTAAGTGGCTACGTAGTGCCTAAGCTATTACTTACTAACCATTAGCTAGAGTGATTGAGATCGAAATTATCTCAATCTAGTTTCTGCAACCCTAAATTGCAAACCAGCGCAGCCAATGCTCGCTGGTTTTAATCGCGAACACGTTGAAGTTCGCGCAGGTCGTTTTCGAACTCGAACATGTTGGAGGTTCAAGGCGGCGCGTCAGAAAAGACCATCCAAATCGAACATGTTCGGCCCGAACTCGAACACGTTCGGGTTGAACACTTTCAGCAAAAAATTTCGAGTCGAACCAAATAGGTGTTCGAAAATCTGCTCACAATTCACAACTGTTTTCCTGCATTCCTGTGCAAGTTCCAGAGCACACATGCAGTGGCCTGTACATGAGCAAATGAATGCGTGCTTTCCTATGTTTTTGTTTCAGTATTCCCCTGCCATGCCCTATGCCTCATTCAGGAATTTTGGAAACAACCATTTCACAGGAACCTTCCCAGATTTTATTATGCGCCAGGAGTTCCTTTCTATCCTGTAAGACCATCCACTCGTGGCCTTGAACAAAAGCGAGGTGCACTAAAGGAGCAAAAACACAAGCAAAACAAAGTGCCGAGCCGAGCCGGCACGCTGTCGTTTGGATTGAATCCAGCCGAACTGCACAGAGGAGCCTTTTATTCATGCCTGTGATCCATCCATGCGTGACCTCACTCAAACAAAGGCAGGTTGCACTGATGAAGTAACTGCTGCCATTTCTTGCAGTACTTCCAACAGCAACTACCTGAACAACTCGAATGGCAATCGCAGTCAAAATGGCCATGGCATGGCAGGAACTTGGCCAACAACAGTTTCACAGGGACTATCCCCCGCGAATTGACCAAGCTTGTCTACCTGAGTGGCATGTAAGTTGCACTGCTGCAAGCTGTAGCAGGGTTGAGGATCTGTTTAGCCTTGTGCTTGAATATCTGAGGTAAATTTGAGTCTCTTGATACTATTGTGCAGATATCTCAGCAGCAACAATTTCCATGGAACCATCCCGTCCGGCCTACTTCGGCTACCCAACTTGTACTGGCTGTAAGTAGCCCCAGTACACTTGTTTCAGAAGATTCTTTTCATTCCACCTTGTCTTTCTCTCAATGAAAGAAAGGGTGAAGGTCTGAGTATGGATACAAAAGTAGATACTATTATCCCTGATATGTCAAATGGTATTTTGCAAGTACTGTGCTCCACTGCCAAACACCATATCAGGAGGTTGCATGCTACCTGCTTTGGATGTTTCTACCTGCACCTCTCAAGCATCCCTCAAGATTGTTGTCGGCCTAGCCGATGCCACGGTGCATTCATGTGTGATGAGTCAATTTTTGAGTGCCAAAGCACATTAATGAATGCATTTGAGTTGACTCATAAGCCGTTTCGTAGAGGTCACAATGCATTCATGTGCTTTGGTTGGCAGTATGCTTGGTTTTCCAACTGCTGCATCCAGCCTTCCCTTTAATTTCCGAACGCAGGGATCTATTCAACAACTCTCTTTCTGGGGAACTCCCACGGACTCTCACAGTCTCACATTCTCTTCGCATGCTGTAAGAAGAACCACTGTGTGCTGCCACCACTGTGTGTGTCGCCACCATTGTGTGTGCGTGGTGCAATATCGTCTCTTCGTGGTTAACTTTCATGCCCTTGGAATCTTCGTCTCCCTTTGAATTGGGCAGTGGTCTGGGAGGAAATGACTTCACGGGCTCCTTACCAGACTTCTCACGTTGGAACGTCAGTTGTGAACAGATGTAAATAAGCCTTCTCACGCTCTTTTCCTCCTTTTCCCACTCTAAACAACGCTTGCTCAATCTTGGCCTTAGCACCACCAGGGTGCAAAATTGTGCCGTTTTATTTCATATTTTGGGCGAAAAAATCACGTACGATGTTTCACCCAATTTTTGATAATTTTGGTCTGGAAAAGTATTGTATCTTGGTGAAAAACTTCGACTGAAATTTTCAAATAATATTAATAAAAAAAACAAGATATAAATTGTCAAAAGTCGATGGATGCAAATCATACTCGCATTCCGTTGCCAGATCCGTGCAGAGCGTGGGTGAAAGCAGGTTTCTGTACCTGACCCGGGGGCTTGCCAGGCTTGTCCCGGTCCTTTGGGTCGGGTTTTTGGAAACCCCAACCCGGGAAGAATGGAGCTGACCCGACCCAGTACCCGCCCGGCTGGCCCAAATCGGGCCAGGTCGGGTTGGTTCAAATGCTCATTTTCGCATATAGTGCATTGCACCCATAGTAAGCTGTTGCGTTCACCCCACTCACGAGAGGCTATCTCGCTGCTGCCTCGCCTGTGTTGTGGCGCAGAAATCTCAGCGGCAACAACTTCACAGGGTCGATCCCCGACTCCATCTCCACCCTCACCAACCTCATTGGCATGTGAGGCTTCTCTTCTTGTGCCACAACAAGCCATAATGCCTGCCATGAGCACATACTCATGGAGCTATTCCCATCTGAACAAGGTGGGATGTCGTGTACAAAAGTCACCGTCGAACCTTTGTAGTGGCACGCAGCCAATGGCAGGAGAAAGGTAGCAGTGGCAGCCTATGCGCACACGCATCTACATATGCTTGATTTGCACTTCCAACCAATGTACCCCGTTGCTATTCCCTGCTCTGCAGTTTTCTCAACAACAACATGCTAACTGGCACCATCCCTTCAGCCATCTTCACCATGAGGAATCTGACATACATGTAAGCCTCATGTGATTAGGGATCCCCTTTCTAAGTGCCCATCACATGTTCCTACCTCTGCCCGGTGGTACTCCTGCACCAGCCTGCACTCCTCTTGCATTCGCTGCTTCTCATTGGAATATCTCCCTGCCATAGCTCTTGCTCTTCCGCTACTTCAGCCATTGCTCTTCAGCTACTCCTTGCTGTCTCCCCTTGTCATTGCTATTACCCTTCAAATACATCGCTCTGTCCCCCTGCCATTGCCATTGCCCGCCAGCTACTTGGCCAACAACCATCTGAGTGGCAGTCTACCAGATGCCATCAGTCGACTGGAGAATCTTGAACAGATGTAAGGGGGCTATGTGCTTTCCTCATACATTTTTCAAACAACATACAGGCATCACAAGCACAAGCTTGTAATACGTCGGTTCTATACGAAACCTAGCAAACTTCCACGCCATGAAATGAATACAAAAGACCAAAACACGCAAACATCACCTGTGTCATCCCCACTCCACCCCCTGCTCTTTATGCAACCATTCCCGCCTTCATTCCTGCCACTGCTCTGTCTGCTCACCCAGCTGGTTGGACAACAACAAGATTGAAGGCCCTCTGCCAACTGTCCTGTGCTCGCTGCCCTGGCTGTGGCGCTTGTGAGCAACACATGAATTTTTTTTTTTTTTTTTTAATTTAATGTTTTTGCCAGCCGAGGGACTTACTCCTCATGTTTTCATGATTTTGGAGATTGTTGAAATGTATGGGTGTAATAGCTGATGTATGGGATGTTTGGGGAAATAGTTTCACTTTTGTGTGTTTGCCATTCTGTATGGGTGTGTGACCCACGGTTTGGCATGTTGTGTGCTGTGCTGCTGGCAGCATGATCAGCAACAACTACCTCTATGGACCCCTGCCTGACTGCTTCTTTGACACGTGCATCAGCCACATGTGAGCCTACCGTGCATACACTATTCTCAGTACCATCCATGAGAGCTCACACTTTCGACGTGGGCATTGCACCGACAGTATTATGCACTCAGCTTTGACATCATTTTCTGGTAGGACATTTTGCAACCAAACATTCAATATCATTTTCTGCCCTCCATGATTCTCATGTGCTGCCCGCAGTGATGTGAGTGGCAACAGCCTGTATGGGCGCATCAACCGTGACTTTGAAAACATAGCGACGGATGGCAATGTCCTCATCAACTTGGCTCACAACTTCTTCTTTGGAGATGGGGTGCTCTTTGCTGCCGGCTGCAAGGCCTGCCCCACCGAAGCCAGCGAGCCCAACAACTTGTATATAAGGGACACCTCTGCATGGCAAAATTATGGTGGCAAGTGCGGCAATCTTGCTCAAAGTTCATCCGTGGCGCAGTCGGGCAAGACGGCGAGGGTGAGTCTGTCGGGAAACTGCCTAACCCTCACCCCAAGCAAGAAGTGCTCGTCCAACGCCGCCCAGCGCAGCAAGGCAGCCTGCCAGGCGTTTTGCAGCATGACTGACCTTGGCCCGTGTGACGGCCATGGGTCGTGTGTGCCGGCTGCCCCCGCCTCCCCCACCAACTTCACGTGCCTCTGTGATGCCGGGTACAGCACTGTCAACTCGGGCAACGGCTCCTCCACATGCGCCATCGTGCACTCCACCACCAGCACCACCACTGGTAACCCTCCACCACAACTGGTAACCCTTGATTCCTTCTTACAGCTCCATACTGCTACATCATTCCTATGTTCTGCACCAATAGCTACGTTTCAAGTAGCTTCTGCTATACACACGCGTATCACCGGCCCATTTCCATTCCTTGCCTTGGCAGTGTCATCTCTGTCTATGAGCCTGTGTTCCTAAAGACGTCTCAAAACTCATCTGGCTGTTGTCATTATCACTCCTTTCTTCGTCTCGACAACACCCCCTAACCGCCACAATTCTCCTTTACGTCCCATTCCGTGGCAGTGTCGTCTCTGTCAACGGGTGCCATAGTTGGCATTGTTCTGGGCTGCTTTGCTGGCTTCTCCCTGCTGGCCGCGGTGGTCGCATGGCTGCTGTGGCCCCGCGGACCGAGTGAGAGCCCCTCAACCCTTCTTCACTTCCATTCCATCTCCCTCATGCTCGCCTCTACTCTGCCCTCATGCTCGCCTCTACTCTGCCCTCATGCTCGCCTCTACTCTGCCCTCATGCTCGCCTCTACTCTGCCCTCATGCTCGCCTGTATTATTTTCTCATGATCGCCTGTACTCTGCCCTCATGCTCGCCTCTACTCTGCCCTCATGTTTGTCTCTACTCTGCCCTCATGCTCGCCTCTACTCTGCCCTCATGCTCGCCTGTACTCTGCCCTCATGCTCGCCTCTACTCTGCCCTCATGCTCGCCTCTACTCTGCCCTCATGCTCGCCTGTACTCTGCCCTCATGCTCGCCTCTACTCTGCCCTCATGCTCGCTTGTATTATTTTCTCATGCTCGCCTCTACTCTGCCCTCATGCTCGCCTCTACTCTGCCCTCATGCTCGCCTCTACTCTGCCCTCATGCTCGCCTCTACTCTGCCCTCATGCTCGCCTCTACTCTGCCCTCATGCTCGCCTCTACTCTGCCCTCATGCTCGCCTCTACTCTGCCCTCATGCTCGCCTCTACTCTGCCCTCATGCTCGCCTCTACTCTGCCCTCATGCTCGCCTGTACTCTGCCCTCATGCTCGCCTCTACTCTGCCCTCATGCTCGCCTCTACTCTGCCCTCATGCTCGCTTGTATTATTTTCTCATGCTCGCCTCTACTCTGCCCTCATGCTCGCCTCTACTCTGCCCTCATGCTCGCCTCTACTCTGCCCTCATGCTCGCCTGTACTCTGCCCTCATGCTCGCCTCTACTCTGCCCTCATGCTCGCCTCTACTCTGCCCTCATGCTCGACTGTACTCTGCCCTCATGCTCGCCTCTACTCTGCCCTCATGCTCGCCTCTACTCTGCCCTCATGCTCACCTCTACTCTGCCCTCATGCTCGCCTCTACTCTGCCCTCATGCTCGCCTGTATTATTTTCTCATGCTCGCCTCTACTCTGCCCTCATGCTCGCCTCTACTCTGCCCTCATGCTCGCCTCTACTCTGCCCTCATGCTCGCCTCTACTCTGCCCTCATGCTCGCCTGTATTATTTTCTCATGCTCGCCTCTACTCTGCCCTCATGCTCGCCTCTACTCTGCCCTCATGCTCGCCTGTACTCTGCCCTCATGCTCGCCTCTACTCTGCCCTCATGCTCGCCTCTACTCTGCCCTCATGCTCGCCTCTACTCTGCCCTCATGCTCGTCTCTACTCTGCCCTCATGCTCGTCTCTACTCTGCCCTCATGCTCGCCTGTACTCTGCCCTCATGCTCGCCTGTACTCTGCCCTCATGCTCGCCTCTACTCTGCCCTCATGCTCGCCTGTACTCTGCCCTCATGCTCGTCTGTACTCTGCCCTCATGCTCGCCTCTACTCTGCCCTCATGCTCGCCTCTACTCTGCCCTCATGCTCGCCTCTACTCTGCCCTCATGCTCGCCTCTACTCTGCCCTCATGCTCGCCTGTATTATTTTCTCATGCTCGCCTGTACTCTGCCCTCATGCTCGCCTCTACTCTGCCCTCATGTTTGTCTCTACTCTGCCCTCATGCTCGCCTCTACTCTGCCCTCATGCTCGCCTGTACTCTGCCCTCATGCTCGCCTCTACTCTGCCCTCATGCTCGCCTCTACTCTGCCCTCATGCTCGCCTGTACTCTGCCCTCATGCTCGCCTCTACTCTGCCCTCATGCTCGCCTGTACTCTGCCCTCATGCTCGCCTCTACTCTGCCCTCATGCTCGTCTCTACTCTGCCCTCATGCTCGTCTCTACTCTGCCCTCATGCTCGCCTGTACTCTGCCCTCATGCTCGCCTGTACTCTGCCCTCATGCTCGCCTCTACTCTGCCCTCATGCCCGCCTGTACTCTGCCTTCATGCTCGCCTCTACTCTGCCCTCATGCTCGCCTCTACTCTGCCCTCATGCTCGCCTCTACTCTGCCCTCATGCTCGCCTCTACTCTGCCCTCATGCTCGCCTCTACTCTGCCCTCATGCTCGCCTGTATTATTTTCTCATGCTCGCCTGTACTCTGCCCTCATGCTCGCCTCTACTCTGCCCTCATGTTTGTCTCTACTCTGCCCTCATGCTCGCCTCTACTCTGCCCTCATGCTCGCCTGTACTCTGCCCTCATGCTCGCCTCTACTCTGCCCTCATGCTCGCCTCTACTCTGCCCTCATGCTCGCCTGTACTCTGCCCTCATGCTCGCCTCTACTCTGCCCTCATGCTCGCCTGTACTCTGCCCTCATGCTCGCCTCTACTCTGCCCTCATGCTCGCCTGTACTCTGCCCTCATGCTCGCCTCTACTCTGCCCTCATGCTCGCCTCTACTCTGCCCTCATGCTCGCCTGTACTCTGCCCTCATGCTCGCCTCTACTCTGCCCTCATGCTCGCCTCTACTCTGTCCTCATGCTCGCCTCTACTCTGCCCTCATGCTCGCTTGTATTATTTTCTCATGCTCGCCTCTACTCTGCCCTCATGCTCGCCTCTACTCTGCCCTCATGCTCGCCTCTACTCTGCCCTCATGCTCGCCTCTACTCTGCCCTCATGCTCGCCTCTACTCTGCCCTCATGCTCGCCTGTACTCTACCCTCATGCTCGCCTGTACTCTGCCCTCATGCTCGCCTCTACTCTGCCCTCATGCTCGCCTCTACTCTGCCCTCATGCTCGCCTCTACTCTGCCCTCATGCTCGCCTCTACTCTGCCCTCATGCTCGCCTCTACTCTGCCCTCGTGCTCGCCTCATGCTCGCCTCTACTCTGCCCTCATGCTCGCGTGTACTCTGCCCTCATGCTCGCCTCTACTCTGCCCTCATGCTCGCCTGTACTCTACCCTCATGCTCGCCTCTACTCTGCCCGCATGCTCGCCTCTACTCTGCCCTCATGCTCGCCTATACTCTGCCCTCATGCTCGCCTCTACTCTGCCCTCATGCTCGCCTCTACTCTGCCCTCATGCTCGCCTGTACTCTGCCCTCATGCTCGCCTCTACTCTGCCCTCATGCTCGCCTCTACTCTGCCCTCATGCTCGCTTGTATTATTTTCTCATGCTCGCCTCTACTCTGCCCTCATGCTCGCCTCTCCTCTGCCCTCATGCTCGCCTCTGCTCTGCCCTCATGCTCGCCTGTACTCTGCCCTCATGCTCGCCTCTACTCTGCCCTCATGCTCGCCTCTACTCTGCCCTCATGCTCGCCTCTACTCTGCCCTCATGCTCGCCTCTACTCTGCCCTCATGCTCGCCTCTACTCTGCCCTCATGCTCGCCTGTACTCTGCCCTCATGCTCGCCTGTACTCTGCCCTCATCCTCGCCTCTACTCTGCCCTCATGCTCGCCTGTACTCTGCCCTCATGCTCGCCTCTACTCTGCCCTCATGCTCGCCTCTACTCTGCCCTCATGCTCGCCTGTACTCTGCCCTCATGCTCGCCTCTACTCTGCCCTCATGCTCGCCTCTACTCTGCCCTCATGCTCGCTTGTATTATTTTCTCATGCTCGCCTCTACTCTGCCCTCATGCTCGCCTCTACTCTGCCCTCATGCTCGCCTCTACTCTGCCCTCATGCTCGCCTCTACTCTGCCCTCATGCTCGCTTGTATTATTTTCTCATGCTCGCCTCTACTCTGCCCTCATGCTCGCCTCTACTCTGCCCTCATGCTCGCCTCTACTCTGCCCTCATGCTCGCCTCTACTCTGCCCTCATGCTCGCCTCTACTCTGCCCTCATGCTCGCCTCTACTCTGCCCTCATGCTCGCCTCTACTCTGCCCTCATGCTCGCCTGTACTCTGCCCTCATCCTCGCCTCTACTCTGCCCTCATGCTCGCCTGTACTCTGCCCTCATGCTCGCCTCTACTCTGCCCTCATGCTCGCCTGTACTCTGCCCTCATGCTCGCCTCTACTCTGCCCTCATGCTCGCCTCTACTCTGCCCTCATGCTCGCCTCTACTCTGCGGCGCTCGCCTGTACTCTGCCCTCATGCTCGCCTCTACTCTGCCCTCATGCTCGCCTCTACTCTGCCCTCATGCTCGCCTCTACTCTGCCCTCATGCTCGCCTCTACTCTGCCCTCATGCTCGCCTCTACTCTGCCCTCATGCTCGCCTCTACTCTGCCCTCATGCTCGCCTCTACTCTGCCCTCATGCTCGCCTCTACTCTGCCCTCATGCTCGCCTCTACTCTGCCCTCATGCTCGCCTCTACTCTGCCCTCATGCTCGCCTCTACTCTGCCCTCATGCTCGCCTCTACTCTGCCCTCATGCTCGCCTCTACTCTGCCCTCATGCTCGCCTCTACTCTGCCCTCATGCTCGCCTGTACTCTGCCCTCATGCTCGCCTGTACTCTGCCCTCATCTTCGCCTCTACTCTGCCCTCATGCTCGCCTGTACTCTGCCCTCATGCTCGCCTCTACTCTGCCCTCATGCTCGCCTCTACTCTGCCCTCATGCTCGCCTGTACTCTGCCCTCATGCTCGCCTCTACTCTGCCCTCATGCTCGCCTCTACTCTGCCCTCATGCTCGCTTGTATTATTTTCTCATGCTCGCCTCTACTCTGCCCTCATGCTCGCCTCTACTCTGCCCTCATGCTCGCCTCTACTCTGCCCTCATGCTCGCCTGTACTCTACCCTCATGCTCGCCTGTACTCTGCCCTCATGCTCGCCTGTACTCTGCCCTCATGCTCGCCTCTACTCTGCCCTCATGCTCGCCTCTACTCTGCCCTCATGCTCGCCTCTACTCTGCGGCGCTCGCCTGTACTCTGCCCTCATGCTCGCCTCTACTCTGCCCTCATGCTCGCCTCTACTCTGCCCTCATGCTCGCCTCTACTCTGCCCTCATGCTCGCCTCTACTCTGCCCTCATGCTCGCCTCTACTCTGCCCTCATGCTCGCCTCTACTCTGCCCTCATGCTCGCCTCTACTCTGCCCTCATGCTCGCCTCTACTCTGCCCTCATGCTCGCCTCTACTCTGCCCTCATGCTCGCCTCTACTCTGCCCTCATGCTCGCTTCTACTCTGCCCTCATGCTCGCCTCTACTCTGCCCTCATGCTCGCCTCTACTCTGCCCCCATGCTCGCCTCTACTCTGCCCCCATGCTCGCCTATACTCTTCCCTCATGCTCGCTTCTACTCTGCCCCCATGCTCGCCTCTACTCTGCCCTCATGCTCGCCTGTACTCTGCCCTCATGCTCGCCTCTACTCTGCCCTCATGCTCGCCTCTACTCTGCCCTCATGCTCGCCTGTACTCTGCCCTCATGCTCGCCTCTACTCTGCCCTCATGCTCGTCTCTACTCTGCCCTCATGCTCGCCTCTACTCTGCCTCCATGCTCGCCTCTACTCTGCCCTCATGCTCGCCTCTACTCTGCCCTCATGCTCGCCTCTACTCTGCCCTCATGCTCGCCTCTACTCTGCCCTCATGCTCGCCTCTACTCTGCCCTCATGCTTGCCTCTACTCTGCCCTCATGCTCGCCTCTACTCTGCCCTCATGCTCGCCTCTACTCTGCCCCCATGCTCGCCTCTACTCTGCCCTCATGCTCGCCTCTACTCTGCCCTCATGCTCGTCTCTACTCTGGCCCTCATGCTCGCCTCTACTCTGCCATCGTGCTCGCCTCTACTCTGCCCTCATGCTCGCCTCTACTCTGCCCTCATGCTCGCCTCCACTCTTTTCTCATGCTCCACGCATCTACACCCTTAGTCCCTCACACCTCTAGTCTGGAATTTTTCTGTGCGCAGAGAAGTGGGAGGGGCTGGATGTGTGCGAGCAATTCTCGCTGCAGCAGATGCTAAGGGCCACCAACAACTGGTCGGAGGACAATGTGCTGGGCAAGGGTGGATTTGGCATTGTATACAAAGGCCGCTCTCCACAGGGCCAGCTGTGGGCCATCAAGCGATCCACCATCATGACCAACGACTTCGAAACGGAGGTGAGGACAAAAAAATCAGTACTTGTCATAACACATGCACTGTGAATCCTCGATTGATCCCAGGGAAGGTTTACAAGCACTCTTGCATGGGGTTTATGGATGCACTCACCCGCTCCTTAACAACCATTCCATCCTAGTTGTGCAGTAGCTTAATCCTGACGTGATAACAGAGCAAAGGTTTCCGATTCGAAACTTCATATGCGCACATACTGGCGCCGATGTGTTGTTGCCACTGTACCGTGTCCTAAGTCATCCCAGTGAGGGGTGAGGGGTTGGGGGGGGGTGCCAGTAGACGTGCACTGGGGATCCCCCGATTGATACTAAGAAATGGCTACAAGCACGCTTGCCTAGGGGATAATGGACGCGCTCACTACTTTAAAAAGCGATTTTATCCCAGTGGTGTAGTGACTTAGATTCTAGGAATATTTTTTGTTGCTCAGAATGCTAACATTCTAATTCGGGGCCACATTGTGTTCTTCAAAATGCTGACCTCCAGCTTAAATCCATGCACATCCCCCTGCATTGTGATCCATGTTCATGTGACAGCTGCTGACCTGCGAACTGAATGCCCGCCATTCCATGGCCATGTGCGTCATTGCCTGTCTTGTGTTCTCACTACAGGTGCGAGCCATGGCCTCTCTCCACCACACACACCTCGTGCGCCTGCTGGGCTTTTGCCTGGACCAGAACGTGGAGACAGGCAAGCAGGAGCAGATCCTCGTGTACGATTTCATAGGCAATAGGGACATGGAGTACCATATCCACAAGACCAAGCGTGAGTTTGCACTATGGTTGCCACGCGCCTTTTGTTTACATTATTATTAATTTTCTTGCACAGCATGACACCATCACTCACAAACCTATCATCCATATGTTGTTTGTTTTTCTCACTACATGGTATACTCGTTGCATGGCCCAGGTCCGCTGTCTCTACGCCAGAGGCTGCGCCTGGCACTGGGAGCAGCAGAGGGCTTGGCGTACCTGCACGGGTTTGACACGCCCATCGTTCACCGCGACATCAAGCCCGCCAACATTCTTGTGACTGAAGACATGCAAGCCAAGGTGGCTGACTTTGGGCTGCTCAAGCGCCTCACTCACGGCGATGCTGATGCCACGCGAGTTGCTGGCACTCCGGGCTATGTGGATCCGGATTACAACCGCACCAATGTCATCACAGCCAAGAGTGACGTGTTCAGGTCAGTATGCTTGTTCCTTTCCACAACACGTTACACTTCTGCGCCCCTGTTTCTCTTAATATCCAGGTTATGCTAAATACATGTACCCTGTACCTCTCTCTCTTTTTTTCTCCATCTTTTTCCCTCTTATATTAAATGCATGATTGCTTGCAGCTTTGGAGTCGTGCTTCTTGAGCTGCTGAGTGGAAAGTCGCCCCAAGTCAACACAAGAACGCACATATGCAAATGGGTAAGTGTGTTATCCAAGATTTGAGTTTGCTAAAAAACAAATAAAAATAGTGCATTTAAGATAATGTTAATGTCCATCGAATCTCAAATGGATCTAATGGCCACTCATTTATCCGTAATTCACTTTTGTGCTACCACTCATTTGTACAGTAATGTTTTTGTCATCTTGCTGCCTTCCACCGTCTTCCATACTTAGCATGCTGCTTTCCATCACCCTTTCTTTTATAAACCCCTTCCAGGCTATGAAGCTGGTGGAGACATATGAGCTAGAAGAGCTGAGGGACAGCAAGATGCCGGCGGCAAGTGAAGAGGCTATAGTGGAACTTGCAGACCTGGCTCTGGACTGCATCAAGTCTCCCGGCACACGGCGACCCACTATGAAGGATGTGGCATACCGCCTCAGTGCCCTCATTGCCAAGCACTGCCCCGACAAGGAGGACGAGTGGGAGAGTGTCACAAAAGAAGAGAGTGAAGGCAACGAGGGTAGTTCATCTAGGGATGCTTCTGCTGTGTCATTTGGAGACAGTGGGAGGGAGGCTGAGAGGCCGCATGGTTCACAGTCTGGCGTGAGTTCATTTGTGCGCGTTGGCTCTATAAGTGATGGCCTCAAGAGCTGGCTGCACTCGAAGCCAACCAAAGGGCGTTAAAAATGCCCATAATGACGGTACCCATGTGTATTTGGCATGAATTTTTACTGTAATTCCCCGGGTATAACACCCTAGCGTGATATAAACTCTACAAATAAAGGCGTCACTTTTCAACGGGTACAAAATATGAAGGACCCGAGTTGCTTCGCATAAAAATATTGTGCAAAGTTATAACAAACAACGTGGCAGGTTTTATCCACGATCTTGTTGAACATACTTGCATTCCCAGGACATAGGACATAAAGCATCCGACACTGATTTGGAAAATGCATTGTTATATTGTATAATTAATGGTTTTTTTTAGCTGAATTATTTTGCTAGTAGACATTTGGTATGACATGGCTGCATTGAATCTATCTTCACCAACCTTGCGAAATATGCCATAACGAAAGTCCCGCTTCGATTCAACCAGAATAAGGGCGTGGAACCGGTTCGGAATTTATGGTTTCAGCAAAATTGTATTACGCCACACTGGTTTAGTTATGGAACATGAACTGGTCAAAAACAAATGAGATTGAAGCTTAAATTTCAGCAGTCAACGCCAACAACCAAGTCGCACCGATTCTTTTGCGACTTATGAAATTGCGACTGACACCCCTGTCGCGTCCGAGTGGGGATGCACATGCCAGCTGCTTGGGCCTTCAAGTAGAAACCGGAACCCGGTGGGAATTTTGTGTTGATGTTCCGAGACTCGGTTGCAGTTTCGTGGTGATCCTTGCGACAAGGGATGTGCGGTTATACCATCGGGGAGATTTCGCGATACGATAACCAATCGGAGTGTGTGACGAGAAGTGAGAATGGAATGGATGAACTATGAAACAGTTTGGTACAAGTACTAACCCTAATTGGGTTGTACCCCTTATGGGCTACCCCACTACAGCCTACACAAATGTATAAGCTATAATGTTCTGACACACCCCCATAGGCAAAGTGGAGGAGAACAAGTGGTCACAAGACCAGTCAAGCAAAGCAAAGCAAGCTCAGGGTGGATCACAAAGTCACCACACAGTCCGAGCACAAGAGTAAGGCCACAAGGCCAGTTCACATGCAAGGTCATATATATAAAGCTAAAACAAGCAAGGGCAGGTATAGAAAGAAGACAGTACAAACAAGATCAAGAAGTGAGCAAGTGAGGCCAGGTAGGCACAAGACCTAGCACAGTACAGAAGCGCTGATGATCACAAGGCGGAAGGGCCTTGGTAAAGATATCAGCAGTGTTGGCCTCAGAGGCCACGTAAGCAAGGCGGATCTGACCACGCTGCTGCAGCTCACGAGACAGGAAGTAGCGGAGAGCAATGTGCTTCGTTCTGTGCTCCAGTCTGTGCTCCCGACACAAGGCCAGCATGGCCTTGTTGTCTACGTACAAAACTGGAGGAGTACGAGGCGGCTCTCCTAGGTCAGTCAGCAGGTAGGTGAGCCAGCGTAGCTCCTGTGCAGTCATGGCCCCTGCGTAGATCTCAGCCTCACAGCTGGAGCCGAGAACAGAGGATGAGCGGGTAGACCGCCACGAAACAGAGCCGGAGCCAAGGCTGAAGGTGTAACCCTGTGACGACCGCTGCGTAGCCTGGTCGTCAGCCCAAGAAGCGTCAGCGTGACCTGTGAGGACTACTCGACGTCGCCCTCCAAGCACTAGCCCCATGCCCGACGTACTGCACACGTAGCGCAACACCCTCTTCGCTGCAGCCATGTGCTCTGGTCGGTGTCTCCCAGGAGCAACATAGCGTGCCAAGATGCTAAGAGGGTATGCAAGGTCAGATCGTGTGCAGGTCATCAGGTACATGAGGCAGCCAACAAGCTCTGGGTACGGGCCACTCGACTCTACGAACTCATCCGAAGGCAGAGCTGAGAGCGAGTGGCGAGTAGACAGAGGAGTGGCCTGAGGCGAGGAGTACGTGAAGCCGAAGCGCTGAAGGACCTGCTGCACCATGTGTGATTGAGACAGGGTAATGGTGCGCTGTGCTCTGTCCCGGGTGATCTGCAAGCCAAGGTAGCTGCGCAGTTCATCCAGGTCTATGCACGTGTGTCTCTTCTGCAGCTCGGACTTCACGTGGGCGAGTCCAGCAGTGTCAGCAGTGGCAAAGACCAGGTCGTCGACGTACACGAGGATGTAGAACGGCGGCAAAGAGGTGTCGGTGCGAAGAAACAGCGACGGGTCGGCTGTAGAAGGAGCAAACCCAAGAGCCGCAAGTGTAGTCCTCAGTGTGTCGTGCCACTCGCGCGGTGCCTGGCGGAGACCGTAGACTGGCCGCCGGAGGCTCCAGTGGGTCCCAGGAGGAAACGACCCAGTGAAGCCAGGAGGGCGGCGCAGCCAGATCTCCTCGTGCAGGCTGCCCTGCAGGAAAGCTGTGCTGAAGTCAAGAGAGTGAAGCTCGTAGTCGCACTGAGCGGCTATGTGCAGTAGCACCCGAAGAGTGGTCATCTTCGGGGTGGGAGAGAAGGTCTAAAAGTAGTCAACTCCCTCTCGCTGACTGAAGCCTTGAGCCACGTAACGCGCCTTGAAGACAGGCGGGGAGCCCGGCGGCCGCTTCACCCTGAAGATCCATATCCCACTGATGATGTTCGCCCCAGGTGGGGGAACCTCGTCGACGTAGGTGCCTGTGGACTTCCAGGAAGCTATCTCTGCGTCCATGGCCGATTGCCACTGAGAGGAGTAGAAACCCTTGATCGCCTCAGCGTACGATCGAGGAGTCGGGATGTCTGGTGCATCCGGGTCTCCCTCAGGGGCAATCAGCGTGGACACGAGATGGGGCAAAGCAGCCGCAAAGCACTGGAACTCCTCCTGCCTATCCTCAAGGACGTCCGTGCTAAGAGCACACTCACCCCCGACGGACGGAGGACAGACAGACTCAGACTCAGCAACAAGAGTGGCAGCGTAGTCTAGACGACAGCGAGCAGTGAAGTCGACCAGCTCAGCAACGAGAGCAGACGCAGCAGCAGACTCAAAGGAAGGGTCAGTGAGGACAGTAGCAAGAAGGCGCGTGACTGAAGGACTAGCAGCACGAAGGGAGTCAGACTCCGGGTCAGCAAGAGAAGGAAGAAAGGACTCTGGAGGAGACGGCAACAGGACACGCAGAGGAGCAGTGGAAGGACGCAGTGCCATCTGGTGTGTGCCGGGGACTGCAGGAGGACGCGGACGTGCAGTACGACCACTAGTGCGAGCAGCACGAACAGGTGACGCGGGACGAGACGCAGGCTCACGACGCTCTGCAAGACCTCCAGTAGGACCAGCATAGGGAGAAGGAGCAGGTAGAGGGGAGGCGGGCGGTAACTGTGACTGCGACTGGACAGGCGGTGGACACTCTAGGGGAGGAGCAGGACCAGTAGAGGGTGGGAGACCAAGAACCTGCTCCAGGAGCGGAACGAAGTACGGTCTCGGCCGCGCAGCGCCTCTAGAACCAGCAAGTACGGCACCAGTACCCCCACCGGCAGCACCAGCGCCAGCAGAACCTCCAGCTCCAACAGCGCCAACTCCAGTACCCTCAGAAGCACCAGCGCCAGCAGCACCGCCAGCGCCGACACCCTCCAGCAGCTCTAGCTCCAGCAGCACCAACTCCCGTAGGACCATCAGCACCAGCTGCCTCAGCAACACCCCCAGACGCACCAGCACCAGTAGAAACACCAGCGCCAACACCCCCAGACTCAGCAGCACGTCTCCAGCGGCGGGCGAACCACACGCGCAGCTCCTGTGGAGAGAGCGGCTCCCGCCTCGACGAAGTTCCGCCGGGGGCCACACGAGCAGACCCAGCACCCCCAGGCTCCGCACCCCCAAACTCAGCACCCCCAGGCTCAGCACCCCCAGGCTCAGTACCTCCAGTCTCAGCACCCCCAGACTCAGCACCCCCATACCCGGCACCCGCAGACCCGGCACCCGCAGGCTCAGCACCTCTAGCAGCACCAGAGTCTACAACTTCCTCAACAGGGTCAACTGCGTCTACCTGGGACACACACGAAGGGGCAGGACCTTGAGGAGGGAGGGGGTCTACCTGAGTAGCACCTGGCACAAGGAAGAGCGGCGGCGGGGGGAGGGGCGCAGTGCGGTAGGGGAAGAGAAGGTAGTAAGGCACCGACTCGTCAAAGGTGACGTCCTGGGAGGACAGAACACGGCGCGTGGTGGGGTGGTAAAACTGCCAGCTAGGCGCGTCAGGGGGGAAGCCAAGGAAGACGCAAGGAACAGCACGCGGGGACAGCTTGTCCGCAGACAAGTCGCGGACAAACGCCCGAGATCCCCAAACCCGAAACGCAGACGCATCGCCAACCTTCCCTGTCCAACGCAAGGCGGGGGAGGTCTCTGGCAAGGAGACCCGGGGCTGAAGGTTGAGCTGATGCGCGGCGTACTGAACCGCAAACGGCCACAGAAAATGGGGGGCAGCCGCATGCATCATGGACGTACGCGCGACGTCCATGACCATGCCAATGCGGCGCTCAGCAATCCCATTTCGCTGTGGAGAGGCCGGAAGCGTGAAGGTCTGGCGGATGCCCTGTGCCCGACAGAAGGCTCCCAGACGGGCAGAGGAAAACTCCCCTCCTCTGTCCGAGTGCAGACGCAAAACAGGAAAGTCCGAGCCAAAACTCTCTCTGAGCTGGAGACGAGCTGCGCGGATCCAGTCGATCAACACCTCAGTGACGTCACCCTTGCTGCGCAAGGGGAAGACTGTGGTGTAACACGAGTAGTTGTCAACGATCAGCAGAAAGTACCGCTCTCTCCCCTGCCCAATGACGCGGGCTGGGCCCCACACGTCCATGTGTAAAGTCTGCAGCGGAGCCTCTGTCGGAGGAAACTCGGAGGAGTGAGGGGCGGCGCGCTGTCGCCCCTTGACGCAGGGGACGTAGGTAGGGCCAGGCCTCGGAGGAAGGGGAGGGAGAGACCGAGGAAGACCAGAGACAAGGACACGGGAGGCCATGCCTCGGAGACGAGGCAAGGAGGGGTGACCAAGGCGGTGGTGCCAAAGGAGAGTCTGGTGGGACAGCAGACGACACGAGCAGGGGGTAGACTCAGGACCAGACCTGGACGCCGCAGCAAACACCAGACTCGACGCAGCTACCTGGGCAGACTCAGCAGTAGGAGGAGACTCAGCAGTAAGGGTGTACAGGCTCGACCCTGGCCGACGGGTGAACGTGGCCAAGTGTCGGTCTATCCGAGCACACCTGCAGTGGGTCACTCGCTGACTCGCAGGAGTGAACTGGTCAACCCCTCGATCTTGTAGGTCCGCTCCACTCACCAAGTTCGTAGAGAGGTAGAGACCACACAGGGTGCCAAAGGGGGCTGCAGGGCACGGAAGGACAGTGGAGAAGGTAGCAAGGACAGGACCCCTAGAGGGGTCTACTAGGGAGACTGCAACCGGCCGACTAAGCGGCGTAAGAGTGGTGCGGTTTCGAAAGAAGGAGCGGGACGCACCCGAGTCCAGGGTGAAGGTGTGGAAGGCCTGAGCCGACGTAGTACTTGAGAGAGCAGACTCACCAGCACCTGGGGCGGCAGACGCACTGGCACCTGGGGCAGCAGACGCACTAGCACCTAGAGCAGCAGCCTCACCAGCACCTAGCGCAGCAGCCTCAATGCCCGGGTCAGGCGGTACAGACAGGTAACAGGCACCCTCAACACTATCAGCAACAGCATACATGGCAGCAAGAATAGCATCAAAGTCAAGATCAAAGATAGCAACCCCGGTCTTAGCCAGATCTCCCCAGCGAGGGATCTCTGACGCCTCAGGGAACTGGCGACGCCACGGGTCCGTTAGGCGACCAAAGCAGCGCTGGGTGGAGTGCGGAACTCCGCACTGCTCACCAGTGCGGTCGCCGGTACGGAGAACGTAAGAGCAGGGACCAAAACCCCCACCGCGCTAGCGTGCAGTGTACCACTCACGAAGCTGCTGAGGGGACAGGGTCACACCACTCCGCTGCTGCTGCTGGCGCTGACCACCACCGACGCCACTCCTCGGCGCAGAGTCGCGACTCGCTCCACCACCGCCGCCTCCGCCACCGCCGCCGCCTCCGCCGCCTCCGCCGCCTCCTCCACCTCCGCCTCCTCCACTACCTCCGCCGCCTCCGCTCCCTCCGCCACCTCCACTGCCTCCGCCGCCTCCACCGCTGCCGCCGCCGCCGCCACCCCCAGCACCACTCCCACCTCCACCCCCACTCCCTCCACCGCCTCCACCACCACCTCCAGCGCCCCCTCCACCTCCTCCAGTGCCCTTGCCCCCCTTGCCCTTGCCGGTGCGGCGCCTCCCGCTCGGGGCAGACGCAGCGCCGACTGACTCGAAACCAACGAGGTCGGCCGCAGCAGCAGAGGCAACAGAGGGCAAGAGGGGGGAGGGAGAACACCCCTCAAAGACGGGGGTGCGAGGGTCACCACAAGAGGCTCCTACAGCGACTATGCGCTTCTCTATCGCTAGGAGGGCCTTCTCGAGGAGGTCAACGGTGAGAGTGGTGGGGCAAACAGAGAGGAAGTGGTCCGTGACTACACGGAGAGAGTCAAGGAGACGGGTGACTATGTAGTAGAGGGTGATGTACATGGGGGGGGGGGGGGTTCTTGGCGCAGAACTCAGCAGGAAGCGCAGCGCGGTAGCGAGTGTCACTAGTGCTGAGGTGCGTAATGAGGTCAGCGACTGTGGGAAAGGCAGCAAGGTCAGGGAAGAGGTACGGTAGCATGAGGCGGCTCACTGCAGCAGTGGCAGGGGAAGAGTAGCGTGCAACTACAGCGTCGTACAAGGTCTGAGCACTCTTGTACTGGCTAAAGTGTGCACGCTGAGTGGTCGGTAAGTGGCGGCGCACAGCAAGGCGAGCAGCAGGGTCATGTGTGGCCCACTGTGAGCGAACAGTGGCGTCAGCATCAGCAGCAGGGGCAGGGGAGGCACCAGAAGTGAGGTCAAACAGGGAGAGGCCGTCTGCCCTATCGCACTGCAGGAAAAGCTGCAGATCATCTACCCAGACCTCAAAGTCCACTGCCCGACCCTCCGCGTCAAAGGTGAGAACGCTAGGGGGAGCCATAACAGCAGGAGGCAGGGCAGTGCAGTGGCAGAGACTATGCTCTTACCAGGTAGGTGGAGCGATCGGGCTGCTCGGCGGCTCGGGTGTCGGGCGGCTCGGCTGCAGGGCGGCTCGGCTGCTGGGCGGCTAGGCTGCTGGGCGGCTTGGCTGCACGGTGCTGGGCGGCTCGGCTACTGGGTGGCTCGGCTGCTGGGCCGCTCGGCTGCTGGGCGGCTCGGCTGCTGGGCGGCTCGGCTGCTGGGCGGCTCGGCTGCACGGTGCTGGGCGGCTCGGCTGTCGGGCGGCTCGGCTGCTGGGCGGCTCGGGCGGTTGGGCGGCTTAGGTGGCCGGCGGTTCGGCTGCTCGGCGCTGCGGGCGCTGGGAGGCGGGGTCGCAGGTGGTGGCGAGGTCGCAGGTGGCGGCGAGCCGCAAGGGTGGGCGGGGCCGCTGTGGCGACGGGGCCGAAGTGGGCGACGTAGCGGGGCCGCGACTGGGCCGTAGCGGGGCCTAAGTGGGGCCGTAGAGGGGCCGACGGGGCCGAAGTGGGGCCTAAGTGGGGCCGTAGAGGGGCCGACGGGGCCGAAGCGGGGCCGCGACGGGGCCGTAGCGGGGCCGTAGCGGGGCTGTCGGGGCCGAAGCGAGGCCTGAGCGGGGCCGCGATGGGGCCGACGGGGCCTAAGCGGGGCCGACGGGGCCGACGGGGCCGTAGCGGGGCCGTAGCGGGGCCGTAGCGGGGCCGTAGCGGGGCCTAAGCGGGGCCGACGGGGCCGTAGCGGGGCCGTAGCGGGGCCGTAGCGGGGCCTAAGCGAGGCCGTAGCGGGGCTGTAGCGGGGCCGTAGCGGGGCCGACGGGGCCGTAGTGGGGCCGTAGCGGGGCCTAAGCGGGGCCGACGGGGCCGACGGGGCCTAAGTGGGGCCGTAGCGGGGCCGACGGGGCCTAAGCGGGGCCGTAGCGGGGCCGTAGCGGCCTAAGCGAGGCCGTAGAGGGCGGCTCGAGGGGCAGTAAGGGCGGCCAATAGGGGCTACTAAGGCGGCTCGAGGTGCTACTTGGGTTAGGAGCTAAGCGCGCTCTGAGCAGGGAAGGAAAAAAAAAAGTTCGTGGTGGGCCCTAGGCAGTATTCCCACTCGGGAACCTGCTCGATACCATGACGAGAAGTGAGAATGGAATGGATGAACTATGAAACAGTTTGGTACAAGTACTAACCCTAATTGGGTTGTACCCCTTATGGGCTACCCCACTACAGCCTACACAAATGTATAAGCTATAATGTTCTGACAGTGTGCACTGCATCGGTTCCACGCCCTAATGATTGGCACCGCCCTTGCTGTGTGCCAAGCCAAGCGAAATCTATGACGCTACCATTGTGGTACAGCTGGGCGTTAAAGCAGTAGTATACATTTGGAAGCACTGTTGTTTTTGTATAGTGTGCCAGGTGATTGCGCCTCAACGAAAATATAAATAGGATTGCGAGAGTGTTGGCAAAAAACTGAAGCGCTTCTGTTGTGAGGGAACACGGGCTGGGTAGGTTGTTAATCACAAAATGGGAAAGGCCTCCCGTATGAGGGAACAAATAAGCGCTTCTGTTGTGAGGGAACAGGGGTTGGGTAGGTTGTTAGTTACAAATAGGTAGCTATGCTGGCAGTCCATGTGCGTCGTGTGTGTCAGCTACTCTGACATTCCACGCGCGTGACTGGTGCCAGCTGTGCTTGCAGTCCGCTAGCGCCACTTGCGCCAGCTATGCTGGCATTCCGCGAGCGGAACTTGCGCCAACTGTGCTGCCATTCTGCGTGCGGCACTTGCGCGCGCTAGGCTGGCATTCCGCATGCGCTAGCAGGGCGCGCTCAGCAGAGCTGCGCGCAGCAAAGTGGCACGCGCCTGCATAACGCGCAAGGAGAGACGCAAGAGGGATGAGAGGAAAGGGAGAAAGGGGAGATAAGGTAAGGAGGGGGAGAAGTGTCAGTAGATCTGCACTGTGGATGCCCGATTGATCCTGGAGAGGGTTACAAGCGCGTTTGCCTGGGGGGTTATGGGCGCACTGACCCGCTATTGAAACAAGCCCTTTTATCCCAATGGTCTAGTGGTTGGGATTCTGACATAGCATCAAAGCGGTCTCGGGTTCGATTCCCGGAGTATGCACATGTAGGCCGTTGCTGCTGTGCTTAGTCCTGGGCCTCCCAGTGTGGGGGGGTGTCAGTAGATCTGCACTGTGGATGCCCAATTGATCCTGGAGAGGGTTACAGGCGCGTTTGCTTGGGGGGTTAAAGGCGCACTGACCCGCTACTGAATCAAGCCCTTTTATCCCAATGGTCTAGTGGTTGGGATTCTGACAAGAAGGGCGGGAAGGGAGAGAAGGGAGGGATGGGAGTGAAGGGAGGGAAGGTAGGGAAGGGGAGTCGAGTGTCGGGAAATGAGAATCGGGCAGCGGGAAGGCGCATCGAGCGGCGAGAAAGGGGAATCGGGCGGCAGGAAAAGGAATCCGGCGGCGCGAAAGGGGAATCAGACGGCGGGAAAGGGCGGTCGGGCGGCGGGAACGGAATCAATCGGTGGGAAAGGAAATTCCGGCGGTGCAGAAGGGGATTCGGGCGGCGGGAAAGGGGAACCAGGCGGCGGGAACGTGAATCAGGCGATGGGAAGGGGAGTCCGGCGACAGGAAAGGGAACTGGCCGGCGGGAAAGGGGAATCGGGAGGCATGAAGGGGAATCGGGCGGCGAGAACAGGGAGTCGAGTGGCAGGAATGGGAATCGGGCAGTGTGACTGGGGTTTCGAGGCGACAGGAAAGGGAAACGGGCGCTGGGAAGGGCATCAGGCAACGGGAAAGGGGAATCGGGCGTCGGCGAAGGGGGAATCAGGCGGGGGGGAAAGGAAATCACTAAGGCGGTGCCTCAACGCATTCTCACTTTGGATGCGAAATGATCCATGTATTAGGCCCCAGAAAATAAGCAATGTTTCTGTACGCGTATGAGCTACGCGTGAGAAGCGCTATAATTGCAATGGCAAGCAGTGCGTGTGGAAGTTGCCTTAGTAGAGATGACTAAGAACACTATGGGAGTGGGGATAGTGGCGAGGAGGCATGTCCTTCAGGATACTTTTGGCTAGCCATAAACATTTGACGAGTGAGTCAGGTAAGAGGGGTTGGGTTTGAACTTGTCGCTATGTCAGAAGTCGAGAGACCCTGTAATTTGGTTACCACCAAATACCTTTTATAAACTTTTGACCTTTCCCCTGCCGAATGTGTACCGCTGCTTTAAGCAAATCCTCACAGTCGATCGAGGACTGCGCGTTCCAGCCTGGCTGGTGGGCTGGGCACTCCCTGTTCCTTGCGCTTGTTGCTGGTTGCTAGCAGAGGGTGATGTGCAGGAGGAAAGGGAGGGACTGCATGTTGTCAATCCAACACTGATGCGTTATGGTTTTGTGCCCACCACCAAAAATCGGTGGGGGCACCAGGCACCCCATGCACAAGGCAGAAATATTTCAGCTGGAAAATCCAAAGCAGGGCGGTTGGAACAGATCCAAACCGAAACATTTTAGGCTAGGAAAACATGTGTCAGCTGGATACAGTAACACATTTTAAGGTGGGTCCACTCCTCTGGTCCGGTTAGATTGATAAGGAAACAACTGCATCTACCCTACTACACTCAAAATATTGCCTCGGAGGTTCTCCATCGATCTCTTTGCATCAGGCTCCCTTCTCTCTGCTCGTCCCATTCTCCCTCTTCTGTCCACCCCATGCGAATCAAATAAGAGAAATGTGATACTGCACTAAGATCAACTAGTGCGTAGAGTTTTGAACCGTACGTCACTTCAAACCACCCAATTTCTTCTCCGCCCTTTGCCAACGGCGTCAGATCTAGGTAGAACCAATCCGCGTCCATTCCACAATGATTTGTCCCATCAAGAGAGACAAATTGAGCATCCATCACTATGGGGCTGAAGCCCTGATTCGCGTCCAGTTGGATTATCTCAGCAATCTTTGCCTCGTTGCCTATCCTTTTCTTTGAGTCGTTTGCACGGAGATAACTACTGTAGGGAATGTACGGTTTTTGCGAGTCAATTGGTTAATAGGATCAGCAGTTGAGGGAGCAGATAGGATGGGCAGTCACGACTCACGGCGAGCAATCATAGAGAAATCTCACAAGAGGCCGAGGGTGGAACCAAGGCGGAGGCGGAGGCGGAGGGCACACACAAAAAAAAGACACATCACCGAAAGTCACGGTGGACTCGGGACTTTCTGATCGTCCACCAGCGTGTGAGGTATAACTGCTGGCCTTATTTGTCGCTTCCTGGAAGTGAACGCTCAGAATGCTTTGATGTTGCGCTAGAGTGACACGCTCACCCGTGACAGATCAAACGCCTTGAGAGACTCGTAGTATTGTCACTTCGATACTTGAAGTCAACACACCCATTCGCGAATCTCACGCGAAGTTGTCGCGATCATATTTTCGCCACAAGCCTGCTTCTCTCTACATGAATTCGCAGCCGATTTCAGTGATTTCGGCGTCGATGCGTTTTTCGACGAAAGCTTTTCGCAAACACCACCTACGCGGAACGTTCCAAAAATCCCCTCCCTTTCGTCCATGCCGGTCTTCACGCGGCCGCTCACAAGCCCTACAGCCGCGTGCGTCACAGCCTTTCCCATCTGCTGCTCGCCCACCAGCGACAGGGGTTCGTGTAACGACTCGCTGCGACGTCACGCGCGACACATCAAGCGACAAGCCAAGGACGCCTCGTGTGACAATTGGCGTGACAGCGAGTCACATGAATTGACGTTTTGGGCATTCGAGCCTCAGTCGGGGCGGAAAGGCAAGCACTCGCATCACGGACGCGCCTTATTCTCAATCTCTGTTCCCCCGGTTATAGTGCTGTCGCCTACTAGCAACGACATCGCACGACAGTACTTCTCTAGCGGCATCGAGAGCCGCGCTGCTCTCGCAGGGAATGCCACGAACCGCAGCAAGTCTAAGCGCAAATTCAATGGTGCTGGTGGTGGTGGCGGCGGCGACGATGCGGATGAGAAACAAGACGCCGTCGCCACGGATTCAGCGCCAGCAGCAGTGGCGCGAGCAAACCCAAAGGCTGTTAAGACCATAGAAGTCGTCGCGACCGTCACTTCCGCCAGTTTCGCCAAGAGTCGCACGTCGCTACGCGCGACCATTGCTGGTCATCCCACACCCTGTTGGGGAGCTGTTGGATTGTAACGAGGGCTTTGTCTCAATCGATGTTGAGTTAGAAAAATCCAAAGGCCATTACATGACAGTAATCACGTGGTGCCACCTCACCGCGGCTGCGCAAGTAAGCCGCTGCCATCGCGCAACCCTTCCAAATTGAGGCTGCGAACAGCACCTGTGGGAACTACGTGCTGGTTTTGGGACGCCACAGCGAGTAGCAAGAGCTGATGGAGCGGGAGAAGTAGAAGGGGCGGAAGGAGGTGTGGAAGGAGGGGCCGGCAAAAGCGAGGTCGGCAATTCGAGTAAGGACGCAATGACGGTGACAGCGATCGGACGCGCAGCGGCGAAGGCAGTGATTGACACGTGTAGTGGCACTGGCAGCAGTCTTATCGCGTTGGGTGGCAACGCGGCGCGGACACAGACGACGCTATTCCTATTGGTGCGCAGCGAAGGCGGTGACGCCGGCGAGTAGAGCGCTTGCGACGTGCTAATTGAAGGGGGAAGGCCGCCAGCTGATGCGCGTGGTGGCAGAGGCGGCGTGTTTGGCAAGAAGTAGCGGCAGGGGAAAGGCAAGCAGAGCGTGTTCGTGTACAAGCTGGTGCGCGCGCCCGCGCGGGAAGGCAGGGTTTCGGAAATGTGTGTGCATCGCGCGAGGACTGCAGGGGTGGCGAAGAGCGACAACGCTTGTGTGAGGGAAACGGAAAGCGTGGAAGGAGCAGGGGAGAGGGCGCGGGGTTGGCAGCAGTGGTCGCTAGATCGAAGCGACACGCAGAGCGACATTGCTGGCATGAATGAATGGCCGAGGGAGATGGAGAAGTATCTGGTGGATAAGGAAAGGATGATGATGACATGGCGGCACACGGAAGAGGGGGGAGAGCGGTGGAATATGTGCGAGGAAGGTAGGGATGAGCATGCACGCTCAGCGCAACAACTCGCTCTTCCCACACAGGGAAGCGGTGGTGGTGGTGGTGGTGGTGCTGTTGCTGCGACTAGAAAAGCAAGAGCAGGGAGAGCAGGAGAGGTGGCATGGATAGGAGAAAGGAAGGGAGCAGTGGGCCTCAAGGCTAGCACGGTGGTATACCACCCACCCTTCAGCAGCTACCGGCACCAGGCTGACATGGCAGCCCTAGACGAGGCTGAGGGAGCTGGAGCAGCAGTTGGAGAGAGAGAGGAGGAGGAGGGAGGAGGAGGAGGAGGAGGAGGAGGAGGAGGAGGAGGAGGAGGAGGAGGAGGAGGAAGAAGAAGAGTTGTTGGCAGTGGCTGGGGAGAGAGGAGTGAGGGAGGTGCGAGTGAGGGAGGGAGTGGGAGGAGGGGGGGGCTTGGATGGTAAAAATGCCTGGAAGGGGTGAGACGAGGAGACTAGAGGAGCTTTGTGAGAAAGTGTTTAGGATGGGATCTAGTGGGGTGAGGATGGGATTGGATGGGGTGGAGATGTGTTTGGAGCTGGAAAGAGGGGTGGTGAGCATTGGGCCTAATGTGTAGGGCGGGAGAGAGTATGCAGTCACATCACCACTGCATGTACCTCCTCCCATGCAACGGTCCTGGACACACACGAGGTAGGACAAAAGGGCCACGGAGCAGCGAGAGCAATAGAAGCAGAGGGAGCCAATGGGTGTATGTGTGAAGCAAGATGTGGGAATGGTGTAAGCAGTAGCACCATCCATGCTATAGTCCCGGATAGACACGAGGCAAGAGAGGGCAATGAGGGCCTGGCAGCAGGAAGTGGCACCACCAGTGAGGGTTGGGGGCAGCGCACGGGAGGGGAGTAGCAGAGGGGAAGCAGACAGTGGGCGGGTGTGTGGCGAGGCAAGACCCAGCCGAGCAGGCACTTGGAGCAAGAGGAGGGGGTGGCCTCACGCAGAGTGGGGGACCTGCAGATTCACACGCATGCGCTGTGAGTACTGCACGGCTGGTTGTGAACGTGTCTAATGGCAAGATGTACCACCGGTGAGCAGCAGCGTGAGATAACCGTGAAGGTCAGCAGCTACACGGCGCGGAACTCCGCACGCAACTCAGCGTTGAACACAGGCGGCGTTTCCATGAACTCAATGACCTCCTTTCACGTGAGGAGGTCATGGCGACTGACCAGCAGGGTGATGGTGATCATATCCGGCGTAAACTTGAAGTAGCCGTAGGACGGCCCTATCCCGCCTGCCGTCACATGGGTCGCTGACACCGGTGTCACACTGCTTCGACGCCCATCGACGTCACATTGCAAGGAGCCTGCAGCCACCGACGTCTGTAGCCCTTGCAGCTGAACGCCGCTGAATTCTTTGGCATGAATCACCCCTCTCAACCTCGACGTGCCGCCCTTCCAGGCCCCTCGCGGCCCCTTCGCGGCCCCGTTGCCGCCCTTCCAGGCCCCTCGTGGCCCCTTCGCGGCCCCGTCGCCGCCCCTTTCGCGGCCCGTTGCTGCCCTTCTAGGCCCCTCGCGGCCCCTTCGCGGCCCCTTCGCGGCCCCGTCGCCGCCCCTTTCGCGGCCCGACGCCGCCCTTCCAGGCCCCTCGCGGCCCCTTCGCGGCCCCGTCGACGCCGCCAGCGGCCCCGTCGCCGACCCTAGCGGCCCCATCGCCGCTCCTATCGGCCCCGTCGCCGCCGCCAGCGGCCCCGTCGCCGCCGCCAGTGGCCCCGTCGCCGACCCTAGCGGCCCCGTCGCCGCTCCTATCGGCCCCGTCACCGCCGCCAGCGGCCCCATCGTCGCCGCCAGCGGCCCCGTCGCCACCTCCAGTGGCCCCGTCGCCGCCACTTGCGGCCCCGGCCCCGCCCCGGCCATGCCCCGTCGCCAGCCGCGGCGCACCGGGGGCACGTGCACCGCCCCCCCCCCCCCCCCCCCCCCCCCCCCCTTTTCCCGTCGCCTGTCGAGGCGACCTGAGGGGCGACCTGGGGGAGGGGGGCGAGCATCGCCCCTTCTGCTGCCTGTTTTGGCGCCCTGGGAGACCGCGCGTCCCCCCCCCCCCCCCCTAACCTCCCTGCCCGCCGTCCCGCCCTGCCCTGTGTTAGGGTCTGGGGGTGGCAAGTAGGGGGTGACGGGTGTGTGGTCTCCCCTGCTCCTCCTCCTCCTTCGTCTCCCACTTTTGCAGCTGTCGCTGAGGGGGGTGGATGTGTGGAAGCCTGGGGTTTAGGGTTTAACGGGGGTGCTGTGGGAGTGGAGCTAGGGTTTTGAGGGAGGTGGATGTGTGTGAGCCTGCGGTTTAGGGTGTAAGGGGGGTGCTATGGGAGTGGAGCTAGGGTTTGAGCAGGGGGTGTGTGTCGAGAGGTGTGGGGCAGCTGGAGGAGGTTGGTTGAACGGAGGTTGTCGTCGTGTCGTCAGCAGCACCAGTAGTCCGGGGCGCTGCTCCGGTAGCCCAGTCGTAGCCAGCTGTGCCAGTCGCCCGTGGGTCCGTTGCTCGTCTGCCGCAAGTCTTAGCCGCGGAGCCAGTTACTCCAGTAGTCCGGAGCGCTGTTCCGGTAGCCACTGTGCCAGTGTGACTCCTGTTGCCCGTGTGTCTGCAGCTTCAACCGTCGCCTCCTATCTCCTCTCCTCTTACAGTCTCGCCTCCTCCTCCTCACTTGCCCTTTGTGAATGACTCTAGCTTTGCTCGCTATTGTGAACTCCTGCTCTATGCCTGCTTGCTCATTGTGCTGATTACACCCCACTTTGGCTATGGGGGTGTGTCAGAATGTTATGTTTGTCTAGCCTGCAGTGGGGTACTCAATAGTGAGTACAGCCCAACTTAGGGTTTTCTATATGTACTCAACTGCTTGCTAGTGAACCCCCCTCTTCTTCATTCTCTCGTTCTAAACTTCACAGAACTCCGCACGCAACTCAGCGTTGAACACAGGCGGCGTTTCCATGAACTCAATGACCTCCTTTCACGTGAGGAGGTCATGGCGATTGACCAACAGGGTGATGGTGATCCTATCCGGCGTGAACTTGAAGTAGCCGTAGGACGGCCCTATCTCGCCTGCCGTCACATGGGTCGCTGACACCGGTGTCACATTGCTTCGACGCCCATCGACGTCACATTGCAAGGAGCCTGCAGCCACCGACGTCTGTAGCCCTTGCACCTGAACGCCGCTGAATTCATTGGCATGAATCACCCCTCTCAACCTCGACGTGCCTCCTGCAGTGCTGCCGATTTGGTCAACGGCGTGGATGCCCACGCCGACGCTGCCTTCGTTGTTCACCGGTCAAGGAAAGGCAGATTGCAAAGGGTGCTCCGTCTCCCACTTTGCGCGGATACCCTGCTCGACGACCTCCAAGGGGAGATTCTCCCCGCACCCGCCATCTGCGTGGCGTCTCCTCGCATCATTCAGCCGTATCTCCAAGGTATCCACTACACCTAAGTCACATACGGTGCCCACCATGGTGACTAACACAGCTGGCGGCCTACAAACGTGATAAGTCGCGGCGCCGTCCACGCTCACCGCACCATGCGGAGATAACTCGTCCAACGGGAGCTAGACTATGAAGAAGGCACGGGTATAGGAGTGATCATAGCATTCGTTAGCGTTGGCTCGTGTTCTCTCTACGCACACATTCACGGGAAGAATTGGCAAGAGTTTCACTAGCAAAAGTTCACAATGCAAAGAAAAAATGGACTACATCAGATGCTAGCAAGCAAGCTGTCGACCTCCAGCGCAGCATGGTTGATTACCCTCCAGCGCAGCAGAGTTCGCATCGCTCAGCGTTGCAAGGATGCGGCTTGCCAACGCTGCAAGTCCACGGCATGCCAACGCGGCAGCAAGGCGGCTCCACAGCATTGCACCCACATGACAGTGGTGCACCAGCTGCGCAGGTGCACACGGCTGGTTGGTGCTTCGCCCGGTCACGTGCACAACGCAGACGTCGGGCCGAGAACACGCCACCGATTGCGCTCACCAGCCACAGCGACCTCGAAATACCACTTCGGAGATCGGCCTCGAAGAAATCACCACGGGGACTATCGCACATGTCGCTTTGGTAACAGGGTTGACCGGGCAACCACTCAAGGCCGACATCCCAAAAGTCGGCGCCAGCTGGTTGGCCTCGCTAGCATGACCACCCTAACATGGCGCCCTCCTACTCGGCGCCCTGCAGCTCGGCGACCGGCACCCTTTATCTTATCGACCACTTGGTCAAGTCGGCCGCCGGCTCACTGGCGTTGGCGGCATTGCAGTGGCCTAGTGCCTAGGTTGGCGTCGCCCACTGCAGCTGGTCGGCTGTGCTCCCCGCACACCGGACTACGAAGTCAGCTCCGCCAAAGCAAGGACGGGGCCAACACACAACTCCCGTTGACAAAACGCGTAGAGACAACTGCTTGTGTAAGGGCCAAATAAACTCAAGCTATTAAGACTTTATCAAACTTAAAACCTCTCCTCAGGGTCACCTCCAAGGGTCCTTGGGTGCCTGGTACAAGACCAGCCCCTATCCTCGGGTCCGAGTTTGTAGAGAGAGGGATCAAGAGGGACTTAGTCAAAACAACAAGAGTACCTTGAACGTCGCAGAGCGTATTGTGCAGACCGTCGATCGGAATTACCTGAGAATTTCCTATATCGAAGCTCGCTCCAAGAGCTTTAAAATGAACCAAGTTGCCTCGCGAAAAGTTCTGCCATTACGAAGTTATGGCTCGGACAGCGTTTGCCTAGTGTTGGAGTGCTAGCGTACTAGCGTTGACTTGGGTAGCATTCCGCCGTCGCACCGCGTAGAAACGAAATTCCAGCAAGGAAGGAATTCGCTTGAATCAAATTGACTATATCCAGGTACAAACAGAGAAGGAATAAATAGTTCTAGCTAGCAAGGACCCTGGGAATAAACCTGGGAACAACCAAGGATGATCCCAAATAACTCCAAGCAACAGAACCAACTTGGCTAGACAAAACAGCAGGTGGTAGGTTGGTAAAAAACCTCTGGTTCTGTTTTTCCAACCTGGAAAAACAACAACCAGGTTCAAGTTCTAAAATCAGAACCTGTTTTGTCTTTGCCCAACCAGCCAAATGCTGGTTCCGCTGGTTTCCCCTGGCCCTGTAGCATACAGATACAGACAAACAACATCCAACCTTCACCTAAATTGTACCCCTATAGTGCCTGCCCTGCTAAACTATAGTCCACCAAACAAAACAGTAGAATTTTGAGTTGGATAGAACTGAATCTGCGCAATCAATTCAACCGAACCGCAAAGCTTCCATCTCGGGTTCCTTTGCGAGCTCGTCCTTTTTCCTTGTACTGTTCATAGCGCGTACAATGTTGTGCCGAAGCGCACAATGCGCGAGTACCTACAAATGCTTCAAGAAAAAATTGCGAAAGCAAACAAACACACGACCATTCCATTAACACCCAAATGCATTCGCACACGCATAGTCGTACGAACAGATGGCAGGATGTCGTGTAATGTGAATTTGCACCCAACACACTCCCCCTTAGCCTGCGGGCTGCATCCCCATCATTCCATGCTAGTTCATGCTCATTCCACTCATGCGCACACAACGCCAATGAGGCTCATCCGCAAGCCTCTTGGTGAGAAAGTCTGTTGGCTGCTGGTGAGTCTTGATGTAGATCAAATTCACCGTCTCCCTCTTCACCTCCTTACGCAGCCAGTGCCACTTGATACGCATGTGCTTGTTGAGCCCATAAAGCACAGCGTTCTTGGCCATTCCAAGAGCCCCCTTGCTATCACAGAACAACGATGTAGCAACCTTTTGCTCCTGGCCAATCTCCTCTAACAGCCTCAGCCAAATCACCTCCTTCTCCTCATGGAACATCGCCATGTACTCTGATTCCACGGAAGAGAGTGCCATCTCCGTCTGCTTC